ACAATTTTTTAGTAGTGATATTACCTAAATGAGGTCTACAAATATGAGAGGGATAGACACGCACACTCTCTCTCTATATATATATATATGTGTGTGTATTATATAGGAAGGAGAACATTTTTCAAAAAGTATTTTTCATTTTGTTCAAATGAAGATGACATAGATAAACCAAACTTTTAACGAATAACATAAATGAGCTTTTTCTCAAAGTTTATTCGCATATTTAAGCCTTTTTCCCCTTTACTAAGAAGTAGACGTTATAGCACAGTAGCAAATTCATAAGGTTAATGCATCTTTAAGAATTTAAAAACAAAAAAATGGCATCCCTATTTTGTCTCTTCAAAACTTACATTTTGGCCATATTATAATGAGTTAACATTATAACAAAAGATGCAATAAGTAAAAAATAATAAATTGTCATTTTCTATTAATAATATCTTAATTAAGAAAGAGAAAATTTCTTCCAGAAATGCTAATTAATTAAATTTTGGTCAATGTTATGAGTGTTATTGTGCTTTTTCTTCATTCTTTCAGGTTAAGCCCTTTTTCTCTTCCCAGAATTTACTAGTATTAATCTCTTTTTTTTGTAATAAAAAAGAACAATTTTAATTCTACGTTTTTTGATAATATATAATAAAATGTTTTGTTGGTTCAATTTGTGTACAATTTTGTCAATCAGTCAGGTAAATGGTCTAACTAAGGGATGTCAGGTTACATTGGATCCAAATAAATGTGTGATTGCTAATTGTAGTTATGAATGTGCAAAGAAATACAATGGAAATGGATCATGCATTGGTAGTGAAACTGACCCATGTATCGGTTTTTCGATTACGTAAGAGTGTTCAACATTCAATATATATCATCTAAAAATAATATTTGATCTAGATATGCAATATGGTTACGTGGGTGAAGGAAACAATTTACCGTGCTTTAAACTATTCTAAAAATTGATGAATTCGTAAAAAAAACAATAATTATGATATATGTCATATCTAATTAGCAATAATTAATTAATTAAAAGATAAGAAGAAAATTCAAATGTAATAACGATGCGCAGAAAAGTATGGCACCAATTTAGGCCACTTTTTCAGTAGTAAAATGACATTCCATTCGTCGCAATATCTTTTTTGTTTGTGTTTTTCTTTTCTTATTTTCTTTTTGTCCTAATTTTAAGGAGGATTGTTTGTTATAAAAAGGGGTTAAAAATTCGTGATTTACGTTACTGACTTACTGTGAGTTCACAAATACTTTCTTTAAAAAAAAATTACTTATATTTTGACAGTGAGAATTCTTTCATTGTTCAATGTTAATTAAAAAAATTAAATACACAATAGCAACATGTATTTTTTTAAAAAGTGATATATATATATATATATATATAGAGAGAGAGAGAGAGAGAGAGAGAGAGAGAGAACATGCAAATCTGTTTAAGCTAAAAAAAAAATTAATTATAAATCATTAGATTTAAATTAGGTATTTTTAAAAATAGTTATCAATTAGATGTTTAAAAATAATATAAAATTGTCAAAATTTGAACTTTTAACTAAAAAGTTGACAAAATTAAAATAACTGTCAAATTTGAATTGTAAAAAAAAAAAACGGTAATACTTGAATTCAAATAATGAAAAAATGTGGAGTGATGTTGTGATGCAGTTAGAAAGATAGAAGACGTGGGTTGGCTATTGCCAGGATAATGGGACTCTATAAAATTTAAATAATTATAAAAAAGTTAAAAAACCATAAAAACGAACTTTAAAATATTAAATAACTACCAAAAACTGTAAAGAAAAATAACTATTAAAATGTGAATTTATTAAAATATTTGTAAATGTTTGAAAGTTAATTAATTATTACTCGATTTAACTAGTTTATCCTACAGCTACTATATGTTTTATCCTAGGCTGTCACTTAAATATGACTGTTGTAGTTAAATTTTTACATAAACTATCTTTGATTCAGTATATTTTTTAAAAAATAATAAAATGGGCTTGAGGATAAGTGTATTAGAGATTAAATTGAGAAAATTAATGGTTAAAATAAAATTTTGCTGAAAGAACAAAATATTTAAATTTATTTATACAAATTAATACATTGCATATATATAATTATAAAATTGTGTATATAATTTGTCAGTTTGATTTAACATCTTTTCTTTAGTTGGTTTTCATTAAAATCAAACCAAACCAATATTATTTATTTATACAAAATTAAAACAAACCCAAAATTAGTATTGATATATTCAATCAATTTGATTCGATTTTAAATATGGATCAATTTTTTTTTTATCAAATCACCTTTGCCATTTTCATCTATTAATTCGTACTCCCTATTGTTATAAAACAGAAGAAAATTATCATTTAATTCTTAGTGGATCAAAAATTAAGTCACAAATTGTATTAGGGTTCGCTGGAAAATTATACACCTCATAAAGGTGAATCTTGAACAAGTCGAATAAAATTAGTTAATTGTAAGAAACATATATTTTTCTTGTTAACGCATTTTGATTGAATGATAAAAGTGCAATAAAAAAAGTGTATATCATAAATTCAAACCTTATTACATAACTCAAAAATTCATTATATATATATTCTTTCAAACGTCAATTAAACTATGGAAAGTGTTAAATGGCCAGAAAATTAAAAAAATTATAATTTTTTTATTTATTTTAAAATAAACTGATCTTTTTTTCATTTTTTAGTTAAAATGTATTAAAGTTAAAAGGGTAAAAATATAAAATAACATAGATAAAATATCATTCTGACCAAATTTTCTAGCAAAAAAGATTTTTCCTTAAACTATTGTCACTTCATTTTTTTTTTATCACAAACCATTGACAAACTAGCATGTATACTTCATTAATCATAGTTTGGTAATAGCAGCATTGGAATTTCACTATTTCTCAACTCAAGCAAACTTTTGGCTGCATGAACATACCTAACTTCCATTAGCTTAGATCCCACCATGGGATACGAGTTTTGAAATTTAAAGATATTTATTAGCTTGAACAAACGTAAATTGAAAGTAACAATAAATGCACCGTCCAAATCAATCATGTCACATAAGGTCAAACTCTCCTATTGAGGATTCATAACTTTGATTGTATTTAATCTTTATATAAATGATGAGAAAAAAAATTTAGACACGAAAATGCTGAGCAAACCTTTTGAAGAATGACATTAGGAATATTTGTAGAATCGAGCAAATCAAGTTTGAGTGTTGATAATAATGATGAAATACACGAGTAAAACTCAAGCACATAAATATAAACTAGAAATATAGTTTCACTTGTGTAGTTCATCATTATTATCAACACTAAAAATTGATATGCCTCCTCCTACTATAGATTTTACAGGCATTCCTGACGGCTTTCTTCAAGAGGTTTTCTCAACATTTCCTATGTCTAAAATCTTTATCTCTTCATTTATGTAAAAGATTAAATAAAATCAAAGTTATGAGTCGTCAATCAAAGAGTTTGACCTTAAATAACATGATCGATTTGAATAATGCTTTCATTATTAATACTCTTAATTTAGGTTCGTTCAACCAAATAAATATCTGTAAATTCCAATCAAGACTAATGGAAGTTGATGTATACTCACGCAACCAATAGCTACTCATTGTTGATTAGTACACTGAATTTTATAGAATGAACCAAAGAACATGTATAATATATAGTCAAAAAGAAGAAAATATATGGACAAATTGAATAATTGTGAAAACTTCATTTTTTTTTCTCCTCGTTTTTTTTTTCTATAGGATATAGCTTATATGAGTGAAGTATTAGTATTTATATAGTACTATAAAAATATATAATTTAAGGGAACAAAATCTAGCATTTGCATGCTAATATTTAAACACATGCAATTATGTTTCCTTTAAGTTGTTTCCAACTATAATATAAAACTTTATGGGAACAAAATCTAGAGTATTAATGTTAATATACGTAAATATATTTATGTTCCCTTAAATTAATTACCAATTATGAAAAGATTAGGATACGATTCATGTATCCCAATACATGCTCAACTATTATGGAAAAATGATAATGGATTAAATGTTATTTAAGATCCTCCTTCCTATATTTTTTTAATTTTTTTATTTAACTTGTCAATCTTTTTATATATACTTATTCTCAATTATTCAAGAAAAATATTTTAAAATTATTTTCTCATTGATTATATGGAATGTATAAAAGAAGCTTATTTTGTTCCATCAAAACTTAAAAGGAAAATTAGCACCTTTAGTCTCTCAAATATCGATAAATGGTGATCCTTGTAATGTTGTCTAAATATATTTAATCTTTAATTAATGAATATATGCATTTTTGTTTCCTCTTAGTATGATTTTCACAAATTTAATGAATTATTAAGCGTTAAGCCGCTTATTATGTTAAATTTTAATGTTATTCCATATATAGAGATAGTATTTAGTTATAATTATTCTCCACTAAATTTTCAATTATACAGAGATTCTCTTACTCAACTATTATGGCAAAATAATATTTCAGTAAATGTCAAAGATTCTTATTATTTTCACCTCCTCATTGTGTTTAATAACTTTGATGTATCTTTTGTTATGTTGATTTCATTTTAATAGAACTCAGAATGACTTTTTTATTATAAAAAAATAGTTAAATTCTTTTATATTTGAGCAAAATTAAGTAACTTTTGTATTTAAAAAGATAATATAGTAACTTTGTTGTAGTAAAATAAAAGATAAGTGACAATATGTGATTTTTTTTTAAAATCCCCTAGATTTCCAACTTAATATGTCAATCTCTTTAAAGCTATTCCTTATTAGCTCTAGGAAAAAGACCAAAATATTTTCTCATAATACAGGAAATTAATAAGTTTATCTTTCCTTCCATCAAATCAAACAAAACTAATATATACTGGGGAAAAAATTATATAGTGATGTGTATATCAATGACTATAAATACACATCTTAGTTAATTAAAAGTCAAATACATTTAAACAAATACTAAAAAATCAAATCCACAACTAGCAACCCCAGATGGGTTGATGGTGAACTGGTTATCCTAGATGGAAAGGTTTAGAGATCTCCATTTAATGGCACTTTTTGTCTTTTGTTTTGCTGTCTCTTTATTCTCTCAATTTCATTTTCTCAACATATTTATTTCCTGTTGAATTGTGCAGTACATTAAAGGAGGGCCTGTTGTGGGTTTTGTCTACTGGGATCCTGAATATCATTTCTTAGTGTTCTTCCATCGACTTAGGCTGCAGGAGTGAACATCTCTGTAGATACAATCTGTGGCTGTTTGTTCCTGGTTCAGTTCTTTGCAGGTACGCTCTTTCACACTTGTACTTAGCAAATTACACGAATTGACATGCAAAAACTCAAGAAAAACAGCCAAAATCACCACCACCCCCCCCCCCCCCCCCCCACCTCCCACTCTATAATTACATATTTTAGTTAATTAAATGTCATGCACTAATAAAAAATATTACAACGATTAAAGTTTAATAATTGGGGTGTGCATCGGTCGGTTCGGTTTATCGATTTTCAATTTTTAAATATGCTAACCCAAAAACAAACCAATAAGATATTTTTTATCGGTTTTCGATTTATCGATTTATCGATTTTTTATCGTTATCGGTTCGATTTTCGATTTACCCAATAAGAAAATGTCCGTAAAATATTATATGACTTCTCACTTCTCTACATATTTTGATATAGTGAAACATGAAAGATAATGAGAAATTGCATCAATAAAAGAAAAATATAGTACGAAAGCTATAATTACATGTCACCGTCAAAACATAGTATGTAATTTATGATGTTAATCAAATTACAGACCTTTACAAACTTGTGAAAGCTACAACCTACAATTACAAACTAAAACTAATTAAAATCAAATAGTCTAACAAGACTAAAACTAAAAACTAAAATCAAATAACTATAATTGTGAATCCTTACTTTAGTCTTTAGGTTTTGAGTAAACAGTAAAGACTAGTAAAGTGGCCTAGTGTGAAGTGGGTATAGTACTAATAATTTGATATAGTTATAGTGTCTAGTTATATATTAAATTATTAATACTTAATATTTAGGAAAGGTAAAGTAGTAAAATATTACCGTCTTATTGGGTTATCGATTTATCCAATAACCCAACAGTAAAAACTGAAACCGAACCAATAACCCAATAGCTTTTTTTTATAAACCCATTAAAAATCCAATAACCCAATAACATTTTTTCGATTCGATTTATTGGTCGGTTCAGATTTTGCACACCCCTAAGGTGTGTGGGGGGGTGGGTAAAAATTCATCACTGATAATAAAATTTATTTTATTTTTAAATTGGGGATAGGGGAGGGATAAACGGAAAGGGGATTATAATGTGGAGAATCGAATGATGATAAATTGTTCACATTCGATATTTATATCTAATCAATAAATATCGTGTCAATAAATATGTGCCTATCTTTTACTTCTTGTTGGAGATAATAAACAACAAGCACCAGTGGTCTAGTGGTAGAATAGTACCCTGCCACGGTACAGACCCGGGTTCGATTCCCGGCTGGTGCATTTGAGAGTGCTGTGATGATTATTGTACAAATTTGTGAAGTAGGGTCTTCACTACCATCTGATAAGTGAGATGAAATCTTGTGCATCTGAGCTCTCTATTCCTTTTTAACTATTTTTTTCTAAGACTTATTAATCATTTCAAAATTAGTAGGCGTGCATGGATTATGACTTGATCCAATAGAGTTTAAACACCTCTTTATCTAAATGAAATGATGTTTGATAAAAGGATATAGATTCCTTTTTAACTATTTTTTTTCTAAGACTTATTAATCATTTCAAAATTAGTAGGCGTGGATTATGACTTGATCCAATAGAGTTTGAACACCTTTTTATCTAAATGAAATGATGTTTGATGAAAGGATATAGATATCTTTTTAACTATGTTTTTCTAAGACTTATTAATCATTTCAAAATTAGTAGGTGTGGATTATGACTTGATCCAATAGAGTTTGAACACCTTTTTATCTAAATGAAATGATATTTGATGAAAGGATATTTGATGAAAGGATATAGATTCTATACTATGATGTGGGTTGAAAGGAGAGTTGCTATGTGAAATTGGTTGTTCATGTGTTTATGTTGGAAGCATACTAAAAGAGAATTGAAAAGGCCTTTAAAAAGGGCGATTGGGTGTTGTAGCTAATTTATAGATAAGAGGTTACACGTTTAGATAGAAGTGTAGGAACAAATTTCGAAGATTATAAAAGATATTAGGAATAAAATCATAAAGAGGTTAGTTAAGTCAAAAGTACTTATAAGATGTAAAATTATCTGTTAGGGGGAACCAACTTTTGATTTTTGCTTCATTTTGGATTTTGATATTTCCTCTGACAATAAATGGGCAAGTTCAAAGCAAAGTCTTTTTTGCATAATAATCTTCTCACTTCACAATTCTCCATAAAAATACTCCTTCTGTTTCAATTTGTTTCTTACTTTTTCCTTTTGATCCGTTTCAAATTGAATATCTTTTTCGTTTTTTGACAACTCTTTAATTCTAAGTTTCCACGTAACATGTTTAATACACAAGATTAAAAAATATTTTAGTACATTCTATATATTTTTAGTAGAAGAGTAAATACATAGGGATTTTCCAATATGTTTAATGAACAAAACCTACCATCTTATGTTAATTATGTTTCTTGTACATCAGCATAAAATTTATCTACAAGTTTTGTAAACCAACTGTACTCCCTCCTCCTACTTTCAGCAGCGTGCTGTTGAATGTGGTTTTCAAATGCTTTCTCCCATCTGGTTGACTCCAGAAAACCTTAAAATTGTAAAACATAATGACACGTACTGAAAAGAAAAGTAAAACACAACGATGCGTAGGCTTTCTCTTTTGTGAGGTGAGTAGAGTTGTCAAGATGGGTTGGCCAACACAACCCAATTATCCTAACGGGCTAGAGAGTTAAATGGGTTAGGACGGATTAACCTTTTTAGTTAAAGTGCCTACAAAATAGCAGTCCAATCCAGCCTTAAGCGGGCCATGAGTTAGTACGGATTGCCCCTTCAACCAAAAAATGAACAACATTGGTGTCTTAGAAAGATTATCTAAGAGTAACGAACATTTATGTTTGATGAACACGACATCAATACACACAAAAATTCATTTATGAATTACACACTTCAATGAATACTTAGAAAAATACATAATAGCCAAGATACAACATCGTAAGATTCATCCGAGCAAAACATGATCACTTTTTTTATAAACAAGACAACAAAGGAGAAATGGAAAATTAGGCATAAAAACAAAGGTAGACTTGATTTTAGTGGGCTAATGGCCCTAAAATGTAAAAGATCTGCAAAGGAGTTACATTTGATTTTAAATTTTTTTAATATTTATTGACAAAATCTTTACAAATAAAACACTACTAAAATATATATCATAAATATATTTTAGCATTCATAGCCCACGGGCTAGCCTCTAAGGCTCGCGGGTTGGGCCTACGAGGCTAGCGGACCAAATGAGGCTGAGCTAAAAAGCCTCATTTCTAAATGAGCAAAAAAAAATTAGGCCCAAACCCTACTTAATTCAAGGATTGGGTTGAGCTGACTTAACGGGCCAAACCCATTTTAACAGGTCTAAAGGTGAGGTTACTTCAACAATTTTAATTTGTAAGGCATCACTTTATAATGGTCATTACCGTAAGTTAATTAGCAACTTAAAATATTTAAAAGACATATAAAAATTTTAATTGACTTTTGAAATTCTATTAATGCCATATGAATTGAGAAAGAAGAAGTAGCACATATTATTTGAAAATAATGTTAAAAAAAGCTATAAATTATAATTCTTAACAACTTGAAATTAATATTTGAAAGGCATATACAAATTTAGTTGACTCGTAAAGTTCTTTTTGTGCCACATAATTTAAGATATAGAGAGTAATATAATGATGTAAAAAATACTATAAATCGTAATAATTAATAACTTGAAACATTGACAGACATTTAAAAATTAATTGGCTCTTGAAATTCTATTTGTGCAACGTGAATTGAGAAATTCTATAGTATTATTTAAAAATTAGGTAAAAATTACTATAAATCACAAACTTAAAATATTTAAAAATCATATAAAAATCTGAATGACCATAATAACTAATAATTTGAATACTTAGAAAATATTTAAAACCTTTGATTGACTCTCAAAATTCTATCAATACCACATGAATTGGTACAAGAAAAATAACATATTTTAATTAGAAATTACGTAAAAAAAATTTATAAATTATAATAATTAATAATATAAAATATATTAAAATTATATTAAAAAATTATTGACATATTTCCTATCTATATCACATAAATTAAAACAAAATAAGTAGCATACATTGGATACAAACTACACAGGGAGTCCTATATCTAGTTCAAGAGAGGCTAGAGTTTCTCACTCTACTCATACGTGGTCATGGCTGTTTTATTTAAAAAACTAAAAAAACTGGTTTTAAAAGTCGCCACTTAATTTTTAAAGTAAACTTAAGAAAACTATTTTTTCCAAAAGACAAACAATAATCTAATGAAAATATTAATAGGGGGTTCGGTGTTCATATTAGCATTTCGGGAAGGGTTTGAAAGCATTCGAAATGTCCGCTAACACGCGATTATTCGGTAATTAACTGTAGGCTAATTATTTTAATAAAATAAGCGTACTTGAGAAAAATTGAAGAAATGAACAACATAAGACTTAAAACTATTTTCTTTAGGGGGAAATATGATGATTTTACTAAGTAAAATTTCGAAGTAATTTAAGTAAAAAGGTAAACACATAACCATTTTTTTTGGGAAAATATAAATAGTTAATTCAAAATGACTATCTTTAGGGAATTGGATTAGGCAAACTTTAAAATTAACTAACAAATAAAATAATAACAATTAAATAATTAGGGAAGAAAGGCTCGGGCCCAAGTCCGGTTCTGTTCGCCTGGGTCAGTACTTGGGCCTAATCCTGTTTTTTGGGCCTTTGACCCAATACTTGATACCTGTCCTAAACTATCATAAGAAAACTGATTTTTTCTTTGTAAGACCCAATTTACACCTGTCCTAAACTCTAACAATATGATAACAATTAAAATGACAAGGGCTTAGGCCCAAAATAACAAATACAACTTAAAATAAAGAGATGGGCTTTTGAGCCCCATTCTGCCTCAATACACAACATATACACTTAGTGTATATTAATGTATATTCTTGGTATATCAACTCCAAATCCTGTACATCAATCTTTCGG